AAACCCATTCCATTTCTGATCTGCCTAAATAATTTTTTATATTTCCACCTCTCCAAGGAGTCTTACATTTTTAATGCCAATACATTTAAGAAGTTTGGGGTCTTGGTTGTGGTTGTGATCACCATGGAAGGCAGCCAGGGCTTCGGGCACTGAGGCCACTATGGTGGCACGAAGCCAGACCTGGAGACTTTCTGGGCACAGAAATCTGCTCCATCAGCCATGACCATATCATTGCCATAAAGGTAAAAGTGTGGTACCTGGTGAGGACAGCTGGGGGTCATCCAGCATGCAAGAGGGGGTCACCAAACAAGCAGAAGCATACCATGCAATATAGGCCAGCATATGCTCAGTATGAATATAACAGGACACTGTAGGTCCAACAGTGCGATCAGCAGTAGGGGGTTACCGTCAGGATGAATATAATGGGAAACTGAAGATCCACCGGTGCTGTCCGAGGGAGATGGTCACTCAACCCAAAAAAGTGTAACTGACACACCAGCAGGGCCCAGTGGGGAGCAATAATGTCATACAGGTTAGTGCCCTGTGGTGTAGTAGCTGTAAGGGGGGTTATCCCACACCTAACAGGGTAGAGGCCTACCTCCACCGGGGATCCATGTGGCCTAAAACCTGCAAGAAAAATAAAATGGTGTATGAGGGGGCCAGCAGCACAGCCAGCACGTAGGGGGAGTGAACAGGCAAGGAACCGGAGGTCCAGGTTGCCCAGAACTTGTGGGAGCGCATGTGACTCCGAAAAAATGGCATATGGGGGGGGTGCAATCTCGGGCAGCGTGAGGTCTGGCAGGGGGGGATCCCCAGGGAAATTCAAAAGCCAGGTACTTGCTCAGATCCCCACATAAATCAAAGGGACACACAAAGCAAGCAGCCACAATAATAAACACAAAATAGGCAGTAACAGTGCAAATAAAGGTATCACCTTCAACAAATGCCAATGTTTGTTGATAATGGATTTAATGCCTCTGTGAGCATCATTAAAATCAAATACTAGGATACACATTTTAAGTAATTTTTCTTATTATCCCCACTATTCCTCAAACTCATAAGGTCATACTGATTATACTTAAGTACCTCTATTCGTATGGTCCACTTACTATTTTCTCTCGATATTTCTTATCTAAAAATCTCCCTTTTAAAAGTTGTGCTTGCTCCTTAAAAACCTCTGTGTCTGTTCAATTTTTCCTTATCCGTTGCAGTTGACCTTTCTGGATATTATAGAGCACAGAGTTCCGTTATATAAAACAGTTATTTGCATCAATATTTGGTTTTATTTCTTTATTTTCAATATTGATTTCTAAATCTAGGAAATCAATATGGGTAGTGCTATACTTGCTAGTAAATTGGATACCCCAATTGTTTTGATTAATTTTTTTTTTAAACTTTCCAGTTTAGCCATGGAGCCATTCCAAATAAAAGTCAAATCATCTATGTACCTGTGATAAAAGACTATCCCATCTCCCATCCAGACATATGTAAATTAGTGAAACTGGGAGCAAACCTAGCTACTATCACATTACCCTGGCATTATAGATAATATTTACAATTAAAAAAAAAAAGTGTTGTTTAATATCCACTCTATGCTATCAATTAAAAAGTCGATGCGCTCAATAGAAAATTATCCAGATTCTTGGAGAAAATCTCATAGCACACTACTTCCTAAATTATCTGAAATAGAAGTATAAAGGGGTGACACATCACTTATTACTAAAATATAACTGTCATCCCATACCGTCTTTCTAAACATTCTGATGCTGCCAAGTCTGTAGTTTGGCTGATCGCTGTTTAGTATACATGCCGCCACTTGTAATGCCCCCCTAAATAATAGCCAAATTTTGTCCGAAAAGTAGCAAAAAAAAGGGCTGAAATGTAGTTTGGACTAAACAACAAAAAAAGTCAAAATAACAAACATTTTGGCCACAATTAAGTCTAATATCGATAGGAAAAGGACAAAAGTTGATCAGTGATAGGATACACATCACATTGATGTTACATGTGTTTTTAGTACAGCAGATAGGTGAAATATTTAGAAGAATTATTAAATTGATTTAAAAAAAAAAAATGAAATCTAAGACAAGTATTTATCAGCTTTATTTTGTTATGAGGCCACCCCAGATTTCCCTCCTAACAGTAGTGGTGGACACTCAAAATGACAACAGCAGATAAGTGTTAATCTGCTCTTCTGTATGTTATACGATGCTGTTACTTCCATTTTAAATTTAATTTTGTATGAATTTATGTGTGTGTAAAACATGGGTCGTCAACCTGGTCCCTACTGCCAACTAGTTGGCATTTCAGGATACCAGGTGGGCAGTAGGGATTTTCTAATTTTGAGAGATCGGGCGGGCGCGAGCCGGCGGTACACCTGCGACCGGGTGCCGCCATCACCACTTGCTGCCCCGGCCCGCACGGCAAACCACCGGGGCCGCATATGGAGGGGTCCATCAGGTGGCCCATGCTGTCAGGGCCACCCGATGGATGTGGATTGTGAGGGGGCCTCGGTCAGTGATGGGCGCTTTTACAGTGCGACCAGGCCCCCTGTGATTACATCACAGAGCTGGGAGGAAGTGACTGCACGTCATTCCTCCCAGCTAACACTGAGAGCCCCGCGGGAGGAAGGAGGAGGGAGTCAGAGTGGGAACTCTGACTCCCATCCACCTGAGCCACCACTGGACCCCAGGGAAAGTCACCCTCCTGCACCTAAAAGGTATTTTGTGTGTGTGTCTATGTATGTGTGCCTGTCTATTTGTATGTATGTGTTGTGTGTATGTGCCTGTCTGTCTTTATGTGTGTGTGTGTGTGTATGTATGGATGTATGTGTGCCTGTCTGTTATAGTGGGCTATAGTAAGTGGGATACCCAGCTCAGCCTTCCTACCGGGCATTGCTATAAGGAAGGATAAAAAATAAAAATAAAAAAAAGGGGGGAGGGGGAAAGGTGGGGAGGGGAATTGAGGAGAGAGATGAGGGGAGCTGATGCACAGATGAGAAATCATATTCTGCACAAACAGAGAAGTCGTCTGAATATCACCGAAAGAGACCTTCGTTTGTTCCGTACGAAAATCGAACCAGATATCAAATATTTAGTCTTGCAGCATCAACCTCAAGGATCTCATTAATCACTAGTAAAGGTAATTTCAATTTACTTTGTTTTCTCATTAAACTTTATAAAGTTAAAAACATTATAAACATGCATTAAGTAAAAATAAAAAGATAAATGTACGTACGTTTATTTTTTTTTTAAAAACCCTCCTTTCTAAAAAATATTCTGCACTTGCGCGAAAACTAGTGGGGGGTAAGGAAATTTTTTCAACCAAAAAGATGCATTAGTGGGCGGTAGGTAGAAAGTGGTTGACTACCACTGGTGTAAAATATCAATTAGTTCATAAAAGTGAGCATACAAAACCACTGCGCAAAAAAAAATGGTGATAGCAGTCAGTTGAAATCACTTGAAAAAGACTGGTGTAAATAGTGATTCGTTACCCAGTTTCGACTCTTGTACACCATTCTAAAAGTAATCCTTTTGATGCCACTTGTAAGGGCGACACAAGAAGGAGAATTCCAGCTCTGTATATCCAAGATTGTTCCCTTGTTCTTCTCTTTGGATCATGCTCATTATGTACAATGGATTCCTGCCCACTTACATGATATGGATTCGCTTAAAGGCATCAACTTAACAACTATGTATTATTCATGAAAGAAACGTTTGACACAAAAAAAGTCAAGCATGCATTCTCTGCTATATTCATTGACAAGGCCCATGAACAAAATAATGCCCCAATCAAAGGTGATGGAGGGGTTGTAGGCCTGACCGTAGACCCAACTGCTCTACATTGTTGGATGGTCTCCCCCTAACATGGCTTGCTTATTTAAAGGATTTTATTCTCCCAAGATGAACAGATGGAGAAAAAATATGCATAACGACAAAACTAACAAACATTAACAGATGGTGTTTGCAAAACACATCATGCAGTACAAGATATAGGAATCACATTCAGTGAAACCAGCTGTGATGTTATGGTACTTGACAGCAGAATTATAGTACAACCAGCAGTTGCAGACACATTGCAAAAGATTAAAACAATTTGAGTTGACCAGTATGTTAAATGTCAGCGAGAAGCTTATTAATCCAACTAAAAGTATTTCAGATCCTATTAAGAACTCTAACCTCTTCAGCCGTCCTCCAGTTCATGAAAAACTGAGTAAACCAGTACAACTGACATCACAGAGGAAGGTCTGCTACCTATTTCCTAGACTCTTTATTGCATCACAGATATGTAGTAGAGATCTATATGATTTATTTAGACACAAAAATCAAGTCTGTTCTCAAGCACTGTTAAAGTTAGGGTAACTAAGAATGGTAAAAAAAAAGTCTGATTTATTGATTTGCTGAGAACTCACCCCTGGAAAAAACACTACTTCCAAACCAATTCTTTTATACGTCTAAATTGTACAATAGGCATTGCGTGACCACAAGCACATTGAGCAATGAATATGTACAAACATTAAGAAACCTCAAAGGGACCTGCATGTCACATGCAAATGCTTTAGCTTTAAATGAGATAGAGGTCTCATTTTGCAGGCAGAGAAAGTAGTTGAATTATAATTTTTTACTTATATTTGCCTGTTTCTTGCTTGTGCTTTCCATGTGCCTCCGCAGGAGAAGTTACTGATCAGATCCAGTCATTGTCCTATACTTAGGAATCGTGGAGAGTCAAACTGCTCATGTGCAACTTTGTCATGAGCTTGCAATTTAAACATCTCACGAATTCACTGATAACATCCAAGCAAGCGCACAAGCTGTGGAAGTGCATCGTGTGCATTCACGGACTGCACATCCACCTGCTTAGGTGCCATTGAGCTTGGGGTAGCTTTTACTGCCATTCTCCAGCGGGGCGAGAGTGATGTCCACCTCGGTGACTGTCCATACAAATAGGCAAATAGATATGCACAAAGAAATTAGGATGAAAATTCTGGTAGTGTTTTAATATTTCACTTGGTTCTGTATGGGCAGGGGATTGAATGATTATGTCTGTGTGGAGACTTATAGTATGGTGTATTTGTTTGCGGTAATTATGTCAACTTGCTGTACCTCACTCTGAGCTCTCTTATCACAGTGACGTCATATTACATTCAAATGAAGCAGATATTTGGGTGGGAAATTATCTATACTCCACAGGTATTTGTTTGCTTATTCTATGTTAAGATTAGAGGGCCGAAAATTTTTATTTTTATTTTGTCCATCTGATTTCAGAAACCTTTTTGTTTGTTGCGCTACACAGTAATGCCTATGGATTACATACTCTCAAGCCTCTTCCTTTCATTCTACCTTTTCAGCTCCTTTATCACAGAGTCACTTTGTCATTATACACTTTGTCCACATGATTTCTTTAATTTAGATCCTTAATCCCTTTACCAGAAGCTTTCTTTCATAATGCTACTTTAGCCCCTTCTTCACTTACTACATTTTTAATTCCTTCTCCCCCTGCTTTCTTTCCACCTTCCCATGTAAAATGTTTCTGCCACTTTTTGTTACTCATTTATCTGTAATTCAACCCCTTCAATATTCTCATGTATAGATGGTGTTTACTGGCATTAAAGGAAAACTATAGTGCTAGGAATACAAATAGTCCCCTCTCCCTCGTAGTTTTCAATAATTACAATTGCAAGGTTAAACTGACGGGGGCACTGCACCCAGACCACTTTAACGAGCTGAAGTTGTGTGGGTGCCTATAGTGTCCCTTTAAGCTAACAACAAAGCCCCAACACACATACACACTGATACATCCACCACCACAGTTACCCTGTCACACACACCCATGCTACAATCACCCTGTCACAGTCAGCCCCCACACAGTCACTGTATTACTCATCCCCTCACAATCACATTTACCCCTCTTATAATCACTGTAACACTCTACCCCACACAGGCACCCTGGTGTACTCCTACCCTCACATATGCACCCTGCCACTCACCACCCCTGTCACACTCTCCCCCTATGCACAACTCAGTCACCCTCATAAGCAGGCACCCCACCACAGACAGTAGCCCCCATACACAAACAGTCAACACTGACACACAACACAGCCTTGCCAGAAACACAACGCAAACAACAAAACCACAAGCAGCCCCCATACACAACACACTGCAAGCATCTGCTATACACAGAGAAACACATGTTCAATGACACAGATATTCATTCCAAACTTACTCACTGATACACATGCATACAGACACTCATACATTCACAAGTACTGTCAGGCATGTGGTACATATACAGATGCACAATGTCAGACATGCACACACGGACACCAATACACGCTGCCACATAAACTGTGATGTCTATCTTTCAAAGTGTGTATGTCTGTGAATGCATCAGAGTGTGTATGTTACATAGTTATGTTAGCTGAAAAAAACATGTCGACCCATCAAGATCAGCCTCTCACATCAGTTTTTGCTCTTAATCCAAAAGATGGCAAAAAAACACAGTTTAAAGCGCTTTCCAATTTTGCAGCAAACTAGGAAAAAATTTCTTCTTGATCTGAAAATGGCAATCAAATCTCTCCTTGGATCTCCTTCAGATAAAGAATTCCACATCCTTGTTCTTACAGTTCATAACCCTCTCGAATCCTCTAGTTTAAATGAGTGGCCTCTTGTCCTATGTATAGACAATGGCTTGTATTGGCCCCAAATATATTTGTATTATCATATCCCCTTTGAGTCACCATTTTTCTAAATTAAACAGATTCAAATTATCAGTGTGTGTATGTCTGTGCATACGTTTGTATGTGTCCAAAGAGCATGGCTGCAATGTGAGGGTTATATAAGGAATGTCATGGTAGTGTGGTAACATATAGATGTATGGTGGCTACATACAGTGTGTTAAATTTCCACTCGGAGGGTTTGGGGGTTTTTTTAGGCCTGGCTGGTAGCAAATGATTTTACATTTTGTGTGTGTACATATAATCTTAACATTTTAATGTCCTATGCTGCTGGCTGGGCCTTAAAAGTTAATAACCACTGCAATACATAGTATCTTGCAAGGCAAAATTTTTATTCGCCAATGGTTAATGGCGAGCAGACATTGTGAGCCCTTTATGTAATATATAGGCACCCACACTCTGTATATAGAAGGATTCACTGTGCAGAGCAATGAGTCTTTCAGTATGCAATTTAAATCAAAATTATTCAACCCCCATTGAAAGTCATGTTTATTGTCAAAATGTACTGACATTCAGCTGTTTTCTAAGAACAGATCAAACAAGAGCAATGGAAATAGCTCAACACAATGAATGCTTCAAGTGGTTTCCCCAAATTCAACTGAAACATAAAATAACTGCTCCAGTCTCAAAATTTTTCAACCCCTACATGACAAGCATCTTTAGTTCCAAGTCGAACATCCTTGTTGCTGTTATGACCTGCTGCAAATGAGATGCATAGCAAGACACCAAGTTCCTGAGGAATTTTAGCCCATTGCTCATGAGCAATGGCTTCCAGTTCAGTAATATTCTTGGGTTTGCTGCAACTGCCTTGTTCAAACCCCACCAGAGATTTTCTATGGTGTTAGTTTGGTGACTGTAATTGCCAGTGTAGAATTTACCAGGACTACTACTGGCCTAGGTGGAATTTGAGATATGCTTGGAATAATTGTCTTGTTGAAAGGTTCAATAACACCCAACTTCAGCTTCCTCCCAGATGACAGGAAGTTTTTTTTCCTAGGATTTCCTGAAACGTCAATGAATCCATGTTGCCTTCCACACGCTGCAGGTTTCCAGTGCCAGAGGATGCAAAGCATGACGAGCCACTACTATGCTTTACTGGATGAACAGTGTGCTTTTCAGCGTATGCGTCATTCTATTTCCTTCTGACAGAACGCTGATCCATTGGTCCAAAATTTTCTAGTTTTGTTTAATTGCTTGACAGAACAGAATTCCCAAACTTCTGTGGCTTATTTATATGATTTTGAGCATGTTGGAGCTGAATTTTCTTTTGCTTTTCAGTAGGTAGTGGTGTAAGTTTTGGTGTTTATGGCATGGAAACGTTTAGTACGTGCCTTGCTGTGCTTACTGAAATCTCAGTGCTTGTTGCCACCAAGTTTTGACGTAGGTCTTTTACAGTCACGAGAGGGTTTTTCACAACCTGCCTTCTCAGAAATCTGGTTGCAGCCATTGATGGACTTTTTTTTTTTTTTTCTGCCCCGTCCATGTAGTGTAACTACTGTTCCTTCAACTTTCAATTTGCAAACTATGCTTCCAACTCTGTCTCTAGAAACATTCAGTGCCTTTGCTATCTTTTTGTATCGTGTTCCCTATTTGTGAAGGGCTATGATCTCTTCTCTTAACTTTGTGGACCATTCTTTTGACTTACTATATTTCTAATGTGTCACTTGGAAAACTCAGTTCAGAAATGTCAAGTGTTCCAGTTCAAGCACAACTGGTGCAACTACTGGATCCCTTACTTAGTTGCAACAGGGGTGCTTGAAACACCTGTTTTGAATATTTGTACTGCTGTGAGGGATTCTATTCAGCGGGTTGAATAATTTTGAGGTTGAAGAAATCATATGTTGAATTTTGAGAAACCACTTGACACAATTGCTTTTGTTTGATTTGTAAATTTGCAAACAGCATAACGTCTGTAAATTTTGACGACCAACCTGATATTCAATGGGGTTTGTATAATTTTAATTACAACTGTATACTGGAATTCAGGATGTAGAGCAGTGTCTCCCACTCAGTGTATATAATCAATTATTACATTTACCCATTTTATTGATGCAGGGAATCAGTTTGTCATTATTGTATCCCTGACTCCGCACCCTTGCTCTTTTGCTTGCAAAAGTCATGAGTGTGCAAAGTTTCTTATGCGTGGTTAGTGGTAGTTCTCTGGAAATAAGATGCCTGGATTAATGTGGGGGCAAGAGTCAGCGTAAGAGGCTGAAGGTACTCCCCTAGCTGACTGGCGTACCATACGAAGCAATCTGAGTACGTTTATAAACGTTTATTAAATATTTTGCAAACTTCTTTATTTCAGTTTGTATATGCGTGTAAAAAATGTTTGTTTAAAAAAATGAATTCAAGTGATGCATGTCCCTTTAATAACAAAATATAAAAGAAGGGCTGCGCCAAGTAAAATGTTTTTTAAAAAAACAGTCCAAATAACGGTAAAAGTCCAACCTAAAAGTGTCC